CACATTTTTATCCTATGGATGATGAAGAATCTCAAAATATTGGAACCAAGATTCAGCCTGTGTCCTCAACTCCAGGGCAAGTTCTATGTATTCTCATTTTCCACCCCAAATTTTTTGTTTATTCTTTTTCCTACTTGACAAGTCTTGTTGTTTACTTTAGCAGGGAACAAAATTGGACAACTGAGCCTGAAAAGAAACATCAACAATCTCCCATACTGAGTGAGATGCTGGGCCTCAATGAACTCTTTTCTTTAGATGTAAGCACTTTTTTATTGGCATGCATTTATATATAGTTTGAATAATTGCACCAAGGTATACATAGCTAAACATTTAAAATAAAAATCTTATGAGTAGTATAGTGATGGAAGTTACTATAACACATTTTGTCGATGTAAAAAGGTTTGGCGAGCGTCGATAGGGGAGCTTCTTGGGACTGCAGTCCTCGTATTCATGCTCGACACAATCGCAATCTCGACAGTCAGGCCTGACGTCAAAATGCCGAGCCTCATACAATCAGTTTTGGCGGCAATCACAATCTCGATCCTCCTCCTAGCCGTGCACCCTATTTCGGGCGGCCACATAAACCCGATTATATCCTTCTCGGCCGGCCTAGTCGGCATCATTTCCATGACTCGAGCACTCGTCTACATAATGGCACAATGTTTAGGGGGTGTTTTGGGTGCACTTGCGCTTAAAGGCATTGTGAGTAGCTCGGTCGAACAAACTATATCGCTAGGGGGATGCATTGTAACAGCTGTTGGGCCGGGACCGGATGGGCACGTTGCAATAGGCCTAGGGATGGGCCAGGCCCTCTGGCTCGAGATCGTTTGTGGTTTCATTTTCCTATTTTCCTCGATTTGGATGGCGTACGAATATAGGCAGGTTGAGGAGTTGGGCCGTGTGCTTGTTTTTGTTATAGTTGGGATGGTTTCAGGCCTGTTGGTGTTTGTCTCGTCTGGTGTTACGGCCCAAAATGGATATGTTGGGCTTGGGATGAACCCGGCTAGATGTTTTGGGGCGGCTGTTGTTAGAGGCGGGCATCTTTGGGACGGGCATTGGGTGTTTTGGGCAGGGCCCGGTATTGCTTGCGTGGCGTTCTATTTGTACACGAAGATAATCCCGGGCCAGCACTACCGAGCCAAGGCGTATGATCACGATTTTTACAACGTCGTGAAAGTTATGTTCGGGACACGATGAATAAGCTATTTTGATATAGGCCTTGGTGTTTGTGTTTTTCAGTTGTGATATAAGCCTTGTTGAGATAGATATGTACAAAGTTTACAAATATCATGGATAATCTTGTATGTTTCACTTCATATAAAGTATAAACAACCTTTGACTAACTTGAAGCCCAAAGCTCGAAACAAACATATGTTTACTTCAATCAAGTTCCTCGACGCGCTAAAATTCCACTCCATCTCCCAATTCTTGCGCCATTGTTCCCAAACGAACAATCTCAAACCACTTCAAGAATTCTACGCCCACGTCCTGAGAGCAGGCCTGTTCTTCATCTCCCCCAATCTCCAGACCCAACTCGTTTTAGCGTACACATCGTGCGCCGGCAACAACACCGCCAGCACTCTCGCAACTCTAACCAGCTTCTTCAAATGCCTCGGCCCCAGAAGCCCGCTGCCTTTCAACTCGATCATATCTCATTTTTCTCAAGATGGGCTCGATCCCTCGGCCGCCCTCCATGCTTTTTCCTATATGCACCGCAATTGTATCCATATCGATTCATACGCTCTGTGTAGCTCTCTGAAATCTGTTACCTGTCTGAAAAATCTCTGCTTTGGTGAAATGTTGCATGCCCATGTGGAGAAATCAGGCTGGCTGGCTAGCCTGTTCGTGGGTAGTGCGTTGGTGGATTTGTACGCGAAATTGCTGCGTATGGATGATGCAGCTATGGTGTTCGACGAAATGCCTGAGACGAACACTGTGTGCCTGAACGCACTTTTATCGGGCTATGCGGAGAGTAAAATGTGGGCTCGGGTTGTCGAGCTGGTTTTGAGGATGCCGGTAATGAAATTACCGGCGGACAATTTTACTTTATCTGCTGCCCTGCGCGCGTGCAGTGGGCTTTGCTCGGTAAACTTAGGCAAACAGGTTCATGCAAGAATAATATGCTGTAGTACTATTGATTTTCGAGCGGACGTGTTTTTACAGAGCTTGTTGATCGAGATGTACGGAAAGTGTGGCTTTGTCGATTGCGCGGAAAAAGTCTTTACTTTGGCTGGTTACAGAGTGAAAGAGAGGAAAAATGATGTTGTCTTGTGGACTTCCATGTTAGGAGTGTACGGAAAATCCGGTAATCACTCTAAAGTGATTCAACTGTTCGAAAAAATGCTGATGCAGGGGATAAAACCTGATGAGGTGTCTTTTCTGACAGTCATATCGGGCTGCAGCCATACGGGCCAGGTGGATCTTGGCATGGAGTATTTCGAGTCCATGACTCGGGACTATGGACTAGTTGTGGGCCCGGAGCATTACAGCTGTCTTGTGGACTTGCTTTGTCGGGCCGGAGAATTAGAGAGGGCTTGTGCGTTGATTGATGAAATGTCTTGTAATGGGGGTGTGATGAGTCGGGTTGTGTCCATGTGGGGAGCTTTGCTTAATGCATGCAATGAGCATGGGAATATCAGTCTTGGGAAGGTGGCGGCCCAACGGGCTTTGGAGTTGGAGCCCGACAACATTGGGGTTTATGTGCTGTTGTCTAATATGTATGCCGGGAATGGGATGTGGGCCGAGATTGAAGAGTTGAGGGAGTTGATGAAGAGTAAAGGTTTGAAGAAGGATCTTGGATGGAGCTGGGCTGACGGGACGGGTTGATTGGAGAGGATACAAATTTGCTTGTAATTTACTTAAGGTATGATTGAATATCGATTTGATTGGTTTTTTATTGATTCTTTTGTTAATCATAGTTAATTTTTTTAAAAAAAAAAATGTGGTATGGTTAGTTGGTAGTAGAGTTTAAGCTTACATTAAACTAATATTTAAAATAAAATAATGAAAGTAGATTTGATGTAAAAGTAGAGTTAAATTTGAATTTTGAATGATTCTTTTTTTAGTTAAGTTTGTATTCAGTTACACCCTTATCATGGCTACGTGTTCTCGAGTTCTTTCTGTAGATGAAAAGCTAATGACTTTCGATTGCATTCTTGAAGTGTTTAAAATCGTGCCATTCTTTCACAC